AGACTTGAGCTCAATGAACTGTGATTTTTACATAAATTACAATGTAAGTAGAAGTTCCTGTACCAGAAGAAGCCTCATTACTACACGTACAGGTATGTGCATGGTTGCCTGCAGACACCACACCACAACCCCGACCACCAAAGAAGTCTTCATATGTGGTAAATGAGTAATCACCTCAACATTCTATAACCTTCTACAACTGAAAAGTGCAAACTTCCTCTCTTTYTCTTCTTTTCCTTCCTCCATTAAGTCTAAATATAGACCATAAGCTGTTCAGAAAGGCTACTATATATTCTGATTTTTCACAAGCACTGAGCAAATATTCAGGACTCACAGTCAATTTCTCATGAATTCCATGAATACCAATCTCATGGTAGCATGCACTCATGCATGGAATTGTCTGAAGTTAATTTTTACAAGCCATGTGAAGGAATTTTTTCAATAGCAAGTACTATGCAAGAGGTAGGCAAACAGATTTTTGAAGAATGTTTCATTTGAATAGGGAAGAGCAAATTAAGGTGGAGATAGGAGGAAACAGAAAACACTGCTGAACCTGACACTACTAGCAAGACAGAATTAACAGGAAGGCGAGGAAACCCAAAATACTAGAGGATGAATGGGATACAAGACTCTGAAAACAAACATGGGATATTGACACTGTCAACCTTACCCTGCTGCATTTTTGATCCAACTTACTTTCATTATAATATAGCAATATTTTATTCCAGATATTTTATTTTAAAGATGTTGGCTTTGGTTCTTTCTCTGTGGTTTCTGTGGGCTTTTGGTCCCATAGAAGGTGCCAGAGTTTTACAAACAGTAATGCTGCCACAAAGCAGCTTTGAGACCTCAATTTGCAACACTTCACTCAATATTTCTGATGTCAGCATTTTTAAAAAGATGTTCTAAATTTTGAAATGAGAAATGTTAATAACAACATGAGCCAGTAAAAAAAATGAACAATGAGCTGAGCTTTAAAAGAAACATTTTATTTGGTAAAAAATAAAAGTAATAAATTATTTCAAGGCAATTTTTGATTTGTATTTGTACATACACAGTATATCCATAACATAGCTGCTATGTAATCTAGGAATTCCATTTTAGGAAAAAAGGATATYAAGTAGTTTTAAATGAAACCAGCACAATCTTTTACATCTGTCAGTATTGAAACCAACTTGATGGAATTCCCTTCCCATGCTACCCACCCACAAAGTGATCCAGGAAAATCCATTTTGGGTCTTTGTGTTCGTAGCATCCCTCATGCTTATTTTGCATCATCTAGATTAGTGTCTTAGCTTTTTACAATCAAATAGCACCCGATTATGATGTTTCCTGCCATTGGTGCACTAGCTTTCATTTTCAACTGGTAAAATATTCAACTGGTAAAACATTATGAATATTCACTTGTGATTTCATCTTCTGATTTTGCTTGTTTCCTTGCTGTGTGTGAAGATATTTGCAAATGCTTTTTATCTTTGTWTTTTTTAGTAATTCGAATTCACGTCCATATCCTCTTTTGAAATCTTACGGATCATCGCAGATCCACACACTCTACTTTAAAGAAGATTGATCTAAACTCTGAAACCAGAATAATATTTTCATACCAGCATACATGACATTTGAAAGAAATATATCAGACATGATGTCTAAATGTGGTATTGCCATGGGTCAAATTTAGACATAACCCAAACAAAACAAGGAAACTATATAGTCAACGATTTCCCACATCACATCAGCTAGGATTGCACAGAGATGTTTTATACCAAAATCTAACAAATCTCGTATGCCTGGATAGTAAATCCTGCCATGCTTTATCTTGGGATGGCCTAGTTTAAATATCTAAGCATGTTTTTAATGCCTCATTGGAACAGTTCTTCAGAGTAGTATTCAAGAGCTTGGGAAGCTGTAGAGGAACAGTCTGAATTTTGAGCATGTTGATTGCTAAATGAGGCAAGAAGAGATATACAATAGACATGCAAGAGTCCATTGTTTGAATGCTAATTAATTAGTTGCATTCATTTCTCAAACACAATAAAATATTGTCACTGCTGCTGAGACATTCAACTATTTTTACTTYAACTGTCATAAATTCTGTGTGTTCTGGAGAGAAAAGAAGCAATTTTTCTCCCAGCTGTGTTTATATATGGAAGCAACACTATCAAAATAAGCATGTACCATGGCCCTTGCATCAGAAATTATTAGTTTTCCCTCCAACTATCTTTTGCACTTACCCATTGAATGTTTAGATATTTTAACACACATGGTGAAAGAGGCACAGCATTCACAGATACTTTCTGAAGGGATGTCAAATAATTTTTAGCAAAGCAGTTTCTCCTCCAGAAATGCACAAAGACATTTTGAAAAAACCCCACAAAGATACTTATTAAAAAAACCAAAGATTTATATCTTTTTAAAGAAGGGACAGGCAATTCACGAAGACTACAAGGATACTGAGAGGCTGTGCAGGGGGAAAATTAGAAGGGCCAAACSCCATCTGGAACTTAACCTGGCCACTGCCATAAGATAATAAAAAAACTTTCTATAAATACATCAGCAAGAGGAGTGCTGAAAAGAATCTCCATTCTTTCTTGGATATGGGTGGAACCATAGTAACAAAGGATGAAGAAAACACTGAGGTACTTAATGCCTTCTTCACCTCAGTCTTTACCAGCAAGACATGTTTTCTCTGGGTATCAGGCCCCTGAGCTGGAACACAAGGATGAGGAGCATAATGAAACCCCCATAATCCAAGTGGAAATAGTGATACCTGATTCACCACTTACACACACGTCTATGGGACTGGATTGGATCTACCCAAGGATACTGAGGGAGCTGGTGGGAGTGCTCACTGAGCTCTGCTCATTTTCCAGCAGTTCTGGTTAACTGGAAAGGTCCCAGGTTCCTGGAAGTTGTCAAATGTGAAGCCCATCCACAAGGATGAGGAGGATACAGGAAACTACAGGCCTGTCACTGACCCCARTGCCAGGGACACCAATTTCCACAGCATTCTCCTGGAGAAACTGGAAGCTCATGACTTGGATGGATGCACTGCTCCTGGGTAAAAACAGTCTGGACGGTGTGGCGGTGAATGGAATTAATGCCCACTGGCAGTCAGCACAGGCTCCCCAGGGCGCAGAGGTGGGTGAGTCCTGCTCAGTATCTTTACTGATGATCTGCATGAGGGGAACAAGTGCATGTTCAGTCAGTTTGCAGATGACACCAAGTGAGCTGAGAGGGTTGATTTGTTGGAGGGTAGGAAGGCTCTGCAGAGGCATCTGGACAGGCTGGATCAGCAATAAGTGTGGCCAGCAGGACCAGGGCTGGGATTATCSTGCTGTGCTTGGCACTGATGAGGCCACACCTTGAGCAATGTTCAGTTCTGTGCCCCTCACTACAGTAAAGATATTGATGGTCTGGAGAGTGTCCAGAGAAGGGCAATGGAGCTGTGAAGGGTCTGGAGCACAAGTTTTATGACTTAGTCAACAGCACAAAAGCAAAAACTGTAACTTAACAGCAAAGCAGCCCAGTTTGGACCTCTCCAAGAGCAAATGTTTTCTTCCATTCTGTTTCTCAGCACAGAAAAGTATTCTCAGAACATGCAACATCTTTGGCATCATGTCAAAATGTGAAAATTGTAGACCTAACTGTAACTCTTGGAGTGGAAAATTATTAAAGATTTCAGACCCTATATAAAGGCACCCAGACATCTCTCTGTAAGCACCTCTCTGAGATAAGGAGTGAAATGGCAGAACAGTCTTTTGAGCATTCCAGTCTCCTCTCGTCACTGGGGTGCTAATGGAATACGTACTTAGGCAAGTGAAGACAAAATGGGAGGAACATGCTTCAATTATCCATGAACTACTGCTCCTTCATGTTGCTCCAACTCTACTGACTTAAATGAAAACATACTAAAAAATCTCTAAGTGCTGTGCAATACAACATTGATATGGGGAATAAATTACGGTACTACAGTAACCTTACTGATCCCTCTGCATTACACAGTTGTAAAGATACTTGTACAACTGTTGGTTGTACAGCSTTCCCCACACGTTACAAATGAAAAAACATATATTTATCATACAGCTTACAAGAGTCAATTTAAATTTTATTTTTACATTGTTCTGCAGCAGATTTTGGTATTTTTTTAATGATGTCTTATAAAACACAACATTTTCTAATACATTTCAGAAAGCTGAAAAATGATCAAACAGCTGTTGTCTCTGAATAGTAATTTTTCACCTATGTGCAAACATCTAGTGCCTGATAAGCTTTTTGTTTCTCTCAAGGTTTGTCACAAATACTAGCACCCTCATTTTTCAGACAGCTGGCAACTTACTTTTTCTTGATTTACAATCTTTCTTCACATCTASTTTGTGTTTGTTAGCATGAACAAAGAGTCCAGTGCAAGGTCATTAATAAGAGAACAACCAACAGTTTTCCAATCCGAGACGCAGTAAAAGCTGTTTATAATGGGGCTGAAGAAATGAGGCAATTTATTCAYTGTGCATTATTCCTGTGTGCAGGGGCAGTTTGTTTATGACACAGATTGAATGGGCAGTGTAAGAAGAGCCTGCATGTCCCAGTTGCACTGCCCTCTGCTCCTCCTGCCAGTGCTCCTGAAGCCATGCTCAGCACTGCCTAACTCTGAGCAGCCTGCACAGAGCCATCCTCAGATGTGTGATGGTGCTGTTAGGGGTTTTGTTTAATGCAGGAATGACACGACATTTCTGATGGGTTTCACAACTCCCAAGCCAACAGCTGTTACCTCACAGCTTTACAAAACTGGGAGGGCACTGSGTGTGTGTGGGGTGTAAACCTTTTAACATGCAAAGCACATTTAGGACACATTGAATGAAACTCATCTCCTTTGAAAGGCGGAAACATCCAGACAAGCTTTGGGAAAACAAAGCTCAAAAATACAAACTCCAACTTTTCCCTCCAGAAATCTGCACAACATTTTACTCTGCTGATGCAAGCTCCCCATTCCGCCCACTCCCCCCCCCCCAGCCCCCTCCAAATTTCCTTTTTATTTTATGGACAACTGGGTTCCCATGCAGACATGAGACAAATCAGGGAATACTGGGTGAGCATTTGAGCATTTTCCCACGAACACAGGTTCCGGAGGGAACAAATGAACACTTGGTCCTTGCTGCACCTGGGTACCTCCCCAGTGTGCTTCCCAACCTTTAAAGCTGTAGCTGTAGGCAGGGCATCAGGCTGCTCTTCCCATGTTGCCAAGCAGAGACTTATTCTTCCAAAGCAGCACGGGGTTTTGTAACATTTCTAAAATAGTGATGTCAGTATATTAAGTGTCTGATCCTACTTCCCCTGCGGTCTGTGGAATTCATTTCAATTAACCTCGGATCAAGCCTTAATGCAGACCACTCCTATGTGGGATCTCTGAGAAGAGATCGAAAAATGAAGAAAAAAAAAAAAGCTAGGTCTACAGAGATTTGTTTGCATTATCAAGTCTAGAGCAGGCTCTTAACTTAATCTTCTGTGCAGGTAAAAAATTGCAGTATGTATCTACAAACATAGACAACTTTGTAAATTAAAATATSTGCCTTCTCAGGACTCTCTGGTAATTTGCTTTGAAAAATACAGTAAAGTATTTCCAAATTGCATCAGTGTAGATCTCCCAAAGTTTATAAAAATATGGCAAGAACTGTCTCTTCAAAACTTGCCCCRAGACCCTTGTTCTCCCTCTCTCATTTCCTTCCCAAATATTGTTCTGYTTACAAGTGTATGTCATAAGAGATCATGAGTACGAAGGAAAACTAAAGATCTTCCTAAAACTAACCCCACCACTTTTTGCAACATCTGCACATAAATTCAGGTACWGCTTTGGACAACTGTCCAACTGGTTACAAATTATTAAGTGTTTTAARAAGTGCTGTATGGCATTGCTGTTGGCTGTGTAGCTGTGGAAATCATTGTACCTATGTTGAAAAAATGCCTGGAGTACCAAGACACTCCTTGTCTTGGGTCTGAACATGTTACCTCTGTTGACATCATAGAATATGTAAGTATGAATGTTTGGGAAAAATACTAACTGTTAACATTTTATCAAGGAATGAACAAAGTTACCAGCACTCATAGAGAAATTTATAAAATCTTTTTGTCATCACAGGCAAGGGAGAGAYCTAAACCTTCAGCAGAGGATTGAGATAAGAACCATATCAGTCTGATAAATAATTAGCATCTTCACAATGAAACAGTTACTGCTATGATGCATGAGCCTAATAAAGTTGCCTGAGAAGGTGCTTGAATAAAAAGCTGACTGYTTCGTGGAAATCACTGAAAGTTAACTACAGTGACCTCATAGGAAACAGAGGAGATTCTCTGAAGTAGATTTCCATWTAAAATCTATTCCCGGGCCACAGGTAGAGAGGACAAATGACCTTCAACTGGTACATGAAATGCCTTTTTGGTATTTCTTTCTAAAGAATTATGCCAAGACCTCCATGGTACACTGCTCCAAAGAACACAGTGGGACCTTTCGATCTAAGAGTGAAGTTGTCTCCTAAAACACTGTCCTGAAACACTAAGACCCTGTAAAAGAATTTTAAGCTTTCAGCAGTGAAATTTCAAAACATTCTGAATTTGAAACAAAACTGTCATGGAATATATTGCAGCTAAATGGTAATAGAGTCTTTCTAAGAACCAAACTCCACACCCAGAGTGGGCTAAACCAGTTGGATGTTCTAGCTGCACACTACAACTGAGAAGTCAATGCCATGCTGCTGCTCAAACACATCATCACACCTGTAATTTTGTAAGCGCTAACCTATTATTGAGAAATTTTTTTTTATGATATAGAGGTTCAGATAAACCAAACATGTCCCTTAGACTGCAGTTAGATGCCTCAATACCTTCACTGAAGTTTAACACTTTCTACTATCACCCTTCCCTGATACTTTCTTTGGCTTATGAATAATGCCTTATTGTTTAATGTGGTGACTTTTAAGAATCTCACTTYTAGCTGCCTAATTCCTCTTGGGCTTGTAATAGTCACCCAGACATAAGGCCATTAAAGCCAGATTTGCAAATAGATCTGTCAACATTTAAAACAGACTGCTGCACATGAAACTCAAAAACTTACCTGAGAAATGGAAGTCCACAGAATTTTTTTTAAACACCAGATAGAAGAAAGTATTAGAAAAGCTTTTCAAACGAAGACATTATAGAATACTGGCATGCTATACAAATGTAATTAACCCATTGAAATTTAAACTAGTTGTAGGTTATGTTCAAGGCACCTTTTTTATAAATARTTTTTTTAAATGTTCATTCTACATTCACACTAGTTAAACCACGTAAACAAGTCTGTGAAAACTCAAATTAAGGTCACTTTCAAATCTGTATGCCAAATACTTCAGGAAAACATCATATTACACAGAAAAGTCAATAAAGTAAGATAGATCCATCTGCTGCCCAAACAGTTCAATAGATGCTATGGGGTAAATTACTAACAGAATGAAACTTAAAAGAGATTTTCAAAAATTAAAGGTAAGTAACATGCAGTGCATTAAGATTTGTGTTTATCATTTGAAAGTGTACATAAATGCTGAAAAAATACAGTTCAATATTCCTAGTGCTATCCTATTTTTAAAGGGCATATCTTTGGAAGTATAGTTTAAAAACATCCCCCATCTTTTTTACCCCATGCTTATTAATCTTACAATCTGCTAGAATGTATTTTCTTCACAAGGAAAATGTATAAAATTAATCTTACAATATCAACACTATAAACAACTTCCTTGAGATATCTTCTGGACATAGAATTTCTGTAAAGATTTAAGTATAACAACTCTGGAACYATTATTTTTAAAAATATGTACATTCATTCCAATGTCCTAGACCCAAGAAGAAATCCAAGTAAGCTCTATAAAAGTTAGCTGAGAGTCTTTGTCCAGTAAAGATTATGTCCAGCTTTGCTAGTCTTGCTATATTTCCATATAAAACAAAAGTTTTACTTGTTTTTGTTTAGGAAGTTCCCAAACTTTTGCATAAATCCTCTCAGCTTATTCTCATTAGGCTGCAATGGGTGGTAAGCAGTTGAGTTGTAGCTGACCATGTGATTACCCCTGCTGTAATTATTCCCTAAGGTCTTGCTTTTGATATCTGGTAGATGTGAAATGCTGTTGGCTGCATTTCCTGYAGGCTGGCTGGCATTTTCTATCTTACAGAACGGCTCAAAGCGACTATAAACACGCCTTTCACTCAAACGAGATCTCAGCTCCTCTTTGTGTTTTGAGCTTGCCAGCTGTGGTGTCATTGAACTTGCTCTTTGAAGAGCAGAAACAGGAGCACTTTCAGAAGTAGCATTTGTGGAGATTTCCTTCACATCTTGATACTGAATCTGCTCTGTATTAAACCTTGGAGTAGATGCATCTCCTGCAGTTTCTATGAACTTACTTTCAAGKGGGCACAACAGAGGACATTTTATATTGCTTTCATCAGATGGAGTTTTTGGAGATTTTGGTGACTTTGGAGACTTTGGAGACTTAGTTGGACTCCCAGTGACATCTTCTTTACTTCTGTTCAAGCTACCTTGAGAATTTGATGATGAATTTCTTTTTCTCCTTGGGGAAGAATCTGTCTTATTTTCAGAAATCTTTGGTTTTTGATTCTCATCTTCAGAAACCAACGTGTCAGAACTACTACACATTCTATAAAAGGCAGGACCTTTGTTTTTTGACAAGTTTTCCTTCTTGTCTGGTGTGAGATTAAGAAGTGACCTCAATTTCTGGGATCCTTTCTTCAGAAAACTTGGGGAACTCTTACTTTCTTTCTTTGATGCGCAATCCTTACTGGACTCCTCCTTGCTAGCTTCAGTGAGAGCTGCCATGGAAATTGCCTTGCTAGCAGTYGGGCTCTTTAGCTCTCCTTTCAGGTCCTTTTCCTCCTGTGGCAAGTGGTTGGTCACACTGTGCAAACTTTTAGCACTTTTCAGCATATCTTCTGGAAGTTTTGGACTAACTGGTTGCTTAAGTCTTTGCCTAGTCAATGTGCTGTAAACATAATTGGATGCATGTTTGTTGGTACCAGGATCTAATATGGACTTGGAATTAAACATGGGAAAACTTCTCCTTTTAAGCGCATTTTCATTTTGAAGGTTCTTCAAATTTTCTGCATGTTTGTCTGTACACAGTGTTGAATACAAATACAGTGATGAGTCGCCAGCTKTATTTGAATTTATATTAGGTTTTGTGTTGTCTGCAGTATGAATTCTGTGGGGGTTTGGAGTATCTGATTTAAGAGGAAAGTTTGTGCCAAGCTCCTCTAAAACACGATCTTTTCCATTCTCCATGCTCGGTGCATGGTTAGATGTCCCTTTAGGYGTTGCACTTCCCTCTGACCCAATTATGGTTGAATTTGAAGAACTTGCACAGCTGCTTACTTCCTGCTGTTCAGGTAAAGTTGGCTGAAACACCAATGACGATCGCAAACGAGAATGAGAATACAGCGCATGAGCTTTAAGATTTTCAGCAGGGTCATAACTGTCATATCTGTCACCTAAGGCTGACCCATTTGACTCCACTGGATAATCTGACTGATCATTCAAATACGACTTTATTCGCCAGTTACGCAGGAATGATTTTGTTGTGTGCTCAAGGGTTGGCATCCTCTGCTGCAGATGGCGGATATGATTGTCTGTCCCATTAAAAGACCTCCGTACAATTGAATTTCTCTCTGCAAGATTCACCTTTGGTCGTGAGAACTGATCAGCAAAACTTTGTTGGGGCACATTGTAGTTATTTGCATATCCTCCTCGTAATGAAGACACAATACTAAGGCTATCAGAYGACATTTTCCAAGTGTTTGACAGATTGTTGGCTCTGTTAATAGCTCTGTTGAGCAGYAGGTAAGGTGTCCTTTCTGGCTTCTCCCCAGCATAACTATGTCTCTTCCAGTGCTCATTTTTTTCACTAGGTTGATACTGCTGGATTGGATTTTGAACATTAAAACCTGGATTAAATGGTTGCTTATTATAGCCTTGATTTCTCAAGCCATATTTTTCTATTTCATTTACTGCGTATCTTCCACGAGKATTCCAAACAGGATCTATCTTGAGAACCTTGTCTTGCCGACCAAAAAGGTTTCTCTGGCTGGAAACTGAAGCCAAGGAAGACACGGAGTGTTGGTACGTATCATTGTCCCAGAGTGTCTTGCGACTGTTTACCCGCACTAATTCTGGGGCAAACGAGCTAGGAACAGCAGAACGGGCATACAGAGTCCTGAACTCTTCATCAAAGGATTCAACAAGCTGTCCTGTGATAACTTGAACCATACTGAGGTTGGTTTTTTCAAATGACCACATAAAGCTGAAAGAAGAACAAATGGTCATTAGATACAGTTCTTTTGAGCGAAAGTATTACAGTAGTTCTTCTGGATAAAAAAGCTTTCTCACAAACCTTGAGTTTGTAAAAATACTTTCTAGATAAGTAAGTTGTGGGTGTGATTCATGTAATTTGGACTCAGAAGGTCTAATCTAATACCAGTTAAACTCAGCTGGAGATTTTCCACTGATTTCAGTGGGAGTGGGAATGAGACTATAACAACTATTATTACTGCCCTTATAAAAAAGTATTCCAAAAAGGTATTCACAAACGTACAAGAGGAAAATTCAAATACCTAATGGAACGAAATCCCCTCTACAAAGACTATGACAGGACTAACTGTGCCCACTGTATTTATTCTTCAGTGAGAGAATCTTACTCTGTGATTATGTTGTGAAAAAAAATACATTTGAAATAACAATCTTGAATGTACTTCATTCTAAACAGTATCAAAAAGATGCAGCTCAGAATTTTAAAAATGTTTACAGTTTCTATTATGCACACTGGATTGGATATGAAAATTTCATTTAATTGCAATGATAATGTTTTGGTGAAGAAAATTTTTCTCTTTTCTGCTCTAAAAGACTGAATACATGCTCAAAGCTAAGTAGCTGCAATTATTTTCAGYTACAAAATGAGATAAATTAACATGTACATTAAAGATGCTGCAACAAGACTAACACSATGGTGTGTAAAGCACACAATTTGTAGATTACAACCAAGCAAAAATCTGTTTTGAAATCCTATTTTCATGAAAAAAGTAAAAAAGTTACAGCAATGAATTTATTTTATTTGTATTTTTCTTCTAGATGTTAGAAAAAGGTTTGCTTTGTTCACAAAAATAGCTGGCTGATGAAGGTTTTTTTTTGCTGTTTTTGTATTTTTCAGGAAGTTATAGTGTATTGAGATYAAATCAAGTGTGCTGTGTTTTTTTCTATTAATTCTCACAATTAAGAACAACATATAATATTTGACAAAAACCTTGGAATTTGAGCTCAGTGACAGAGTTCAGAAAGACTTGTCTTTCCCATTGCAAATCACCAGATTCTCTTGCAAAGAAAGCTTGATTTCTCCAGAAATTGATGATTCTTGCCCCTGTGGTGCAAGGTGTTCAAACAGTGTTGTTTTTCAAAATGGAATGAGAAAACCTATCACATTCTCCCAGACCGTAACACTGTGTGTAGATGTCAAAGCATGCAGACTCTCCCTGCAGGCTCTGACCCTGATTCATTTATGGACTTGTCACTTACCTCAGYACCATTTATACATGTCAGTCTGAATTTGGGGCTGTCTGAGTCTTGGAGGAAATAAAAAGTCAGATTTTCAAAAGCTTACAGGGTTGGAAATCTATGAAAGGCAGTAGCTGTGAATCTGGCACCCAGGCACTACGTTGCCAGAAAGTAGCTCAGTAGTAGGGCAAAGGAGAAAAGTGCAGCATGAAAAGAAGGAAAATATTTAATAATGTGTGAGTTAAGACTGTCTCTGCTTTAACTTAGGTTTTTTCCAGCCTATGTTTTGCACACATACACTGGAAATAAAAMGTAGACTAAAGAAACTTAGCAAAACAGAGAGATACTTGGGCAATTCTGAATTTTGACCATCATATACTAGCGAGCCACAGAACAAATCTCTAATATTAGCTTTAGAWAATTATTACATGGAGAAACTATCCAAGACAGTTTATGCAGTAATTTTGACAGCCTTTTCTGGAGTAAATGTTAAACAAGACAATTCAGACAATATSAGACAAATAAGGATTTTTCTCTTTTTAGCAACTCTGCAGCTGTAGCAAAACCTACATCCTTTATTTTTTATTTTTGAAAAATGAACAGAGGAYCTCTTTAGATCAGTTAGTAGTAAGTATCTATGAAAACTGGTTAAATTACAGAAAAGATAATAAAATATACCTGTGCACTTCCCTGGAAGAATTTTCACAACTAGAAAACMCCCAAATTTGATATAGCAGCAGTACTGAGATGACAGGTTTGCTACAGACACTTCAGTCATTGATCTTACCTGTAAGAACCATATATCACTTTCTTACAGTCAACAAGAATAAATTTTTGTTCCATTTTTCCATGGAATTTTGCTCCTGTTTTAGAATAGTAATCTTGTCCTTTCACTGTGCGCACCCTCATATTCTGAAAAAGACAATCAAAATACTTTAATTGGTCTACTATAGGCCWTGTTTAGCATCCAGAGGGCTAAAATTCAAAGAAACAGTAGGAGAAAAATTACATTACTGCATATTATTAAGGTCTTCAGGGAATGGAAAACTGATCAAACTTGCTGCCTAGGGATGCCAGTTACAGTTTTGTCATCAAGACTGATGAGATTCCCTAGGCCAAAGAAAATGAAATTCCACTTTTCCATTGCCACCACTTCAGAAATGAGGTTCTGGTATAAGATGTCTTCAATAAGGGGAAAAAGTTTTGTATGTAAAAAAAAAAATTCTTTCCATCATCTGATGCACATGTTTGTAAGATTTYCAAGTATCTCAACTAATCATAGAACACTTAAAGGAGCCAGGATCACTTTTATTTTAATTGAAGAAGGCTGCTGCATCTACAAATACATATTCTCCACTCTGAGGTGATCCACTGAATGATACCACTTAGCACCAGAATCCCTTGYAGTTTTACCACAGTAAGATTTTTGTATCAGTTTTGCATCACAGGATGAATCACATTTTTAAATTCAGAGATGCTAACAAAACGTRCATAGGTAGCATGAACTCAGAGAAGTAGTTAATTTTGAATTCTATTAAGCTTTATGTTTTATTCATGCAAACTCAGTAAATGGCACTTGTGAAATTTTCCATGCTGGATCTCAAAAATAAGGCCAATTTTTATCCCAGACTACTGATGAAACTRATTCAGCCAAGTCAGTGTCTTGTATTTTTTCTCTCCTACTCTCACTTGTTTTTTTTAAACCCATAGAAATGAAAAATTTGGAAGAAGTTGTTACAATAGCTTATGGACTGTACTMATAATAATTTTCAAAAAGTTCTTATGGAGATGTAGAAAAAAATGCATTTAACAGAAATTGTTACATAAAAGGTGTTTACTTAAAGAAAAACTAAAATTTACATTTGATATAAATCAAYGTACAAGTATCTATCTCATGCAACTGTGAGACACAAAATGCTTCACAAGACATAAAAGTAGCTTGGAATATGGCTGTGAATGATCACGATATTTACAGTAGTTTCTAGTCTTGGAATAGTTTTTCTAGCAACTCTAATTTCTGGTAATTTACAAGTATTCTAGTGGCAGTAAAATCCATAATTTAGCATTGGCAGTAAAAAACAAGAATCTGTAKGATGATTACATACTCTGCACATATGGAAATGATGGAATGTAAGGCCTGTGAATAGAGAATAATGCCTTGCTTCACAGGACTGCCACAAGGACAGGCTGCAAATCACAGCACACGAGCTCTGTAAAGAGTAGCTATAGCCAGAAGGGCTGATCATGAGGCAAAWGGAAAAGTTATGTACATGGTAAATTCAGCAAAATCAGGAGAATGAAATAAATAGAAAAGGATGGGATGGGATAAGACTATTTCAGATGGAAAGAATGCACAAGGATTATTGAGTCCAACTATCTGACAAATTCAGGGCTGTCTAGAAGTTAAATGAAATTATTAAAAGCATTGTCCAAATGTCTCAAACCCTGACAGGCTTGGAGCACTGACCACTTCCCTAGGAAGTCGGTTCCAGCGTTTGACAACTCCCTCAGTAAAGAAATGCTTCCTGATGTTCATCTAAACCTCCTGTGGTGCAGCTGTGAAACATCCCCATGTGTCCTGTCACTGCACACYACGGGGAACAGAAAGCATCTTCTTCACTTCCCATCCTCASGAARCTGTAGCGATGTTTAGACTTACAAATTAATTTGAAATTCCAGTCTATAAAGTATGATTGAGTTTGCAGTACAGTGACATAAGCCTTCATTATCTATGGGAGCACTTGTACATTTACCTAAGACATATGAAGTTCCAGTAAACAGAGGTTGTAATAGTCTTAAAGATAATGTCTACTACAATCCAATTAACTTTATCTTTTTCCAAACAGAAATTTMAAAAAAATAGGAGAAAATATCCATGAAACAAAAGCACATTTCCAAATAACACAAGCTTTCTAAATCAGTGTACATTTCAGTGTTGGTATCGTAAAAATTCTATCAAATGAGAAAACAAACCATAGAAGCAAGAGGTACACTTAAAAGCTGTTGAGTTGGCAAAATATGGTTWAACTCAAGCTATCCAAATATGTGAAATTTCATTCACTGTTAGGTGAATTTCTACTTAGCATTTTTGTCAAGCTGTGTTTCACAAATTCAGTTCAGTTAAAATGCACAAGAAAGCATTTAAAAATCACTTTTGTTTGTGAGCTAAATGTCTAGCGAATGTGCTAAAAACAAAACAGAAGTTTTTTATTAGATAACTAAAAGAAGTAGAAGTGTCTAGAAGTGCTGTAAAATTTTAAAAGGTAAAAAATTTAAAAGTGAAAATACAGGTGGATGCTTAGGTCTGTTTTCAGAAACAGCGACAAAAGAATTAGCAACAACCCAATTTGCATTACCGAATGCCAGGTTAACATAAATTTGCATCTCTAACTGCTAATCACTTTTGCCAACCTAATAAGYTTTCTGCATTCCTATTAGAAGTTTTCTTACCGATGAAAGTCATTTTTTGTGCTTTTCCAAAGTGATTTTGTTGAACTTTGAACTAGCCCACTGAAGAAAGCAATTTTTTTCTCCAGCAGCTATTCAAGAGTTACCTAATTATATGAAAAGCTTTGATTTGAAAGACAAACACTATAGTAATTCCTGAAAAAGAAGAAAAGAAAATAATGGAATTTACCCATTCTAAAGATAACCAAAATAGTAACCCCTAATTTTAAATAAAATTTTTATGCATTAATAATGAAATTTGCATTTACTTTGATGACTGTTCTATCAAGTTCATAATTATATTTGTATTTCAGACTTACATTCAATTATATTTAATCTTATTTATGTAATTATAATTTGAAAAAGGTAACTTGAGAGCAGCTTATACATTTTCAAGCAGCCATAACAAGTAATGCTGGCCTAAAGACATGCCATTTGAACATGAGATAAGGTCTGATCAGAATTGGAAAGGATATTACTTGGAATCGATGCTGGAGGCACAACCAAGGCTAATGGCTTGCAAATTACCATACAGTACACAAAAAAAAAAAGCTTTGCCTTATGTTGAAATATAACTTTAAGTAAGCACACGTAAAAAAGGAATAAAATTATTTACACTACATTACTGTGKTTTTTTTTTTAAAAAAAAAAWTGTAGTCACTGCTTCCTCTGTTATCCTTTTTGTTTTCCTTCTCTTCAGTATTTTTCCTTCTGCAGCTTTTCCATCCGGATTCCTCAATCCTGCACTCTTTCCTTCCCTTGGTAAGTCATTCATTACCACATGGGAACATGACATGTGCCAGAGATCGTGCTCACCTTTCTCACACAGCACTTCCTTTTCCTGCACAGTTTATTCTGCACTCTTCATCAGCTTCAAACCCTCTAATTAAGGTTCCAGAAATGCACACTTTTAATAACCACCCAAAATACAAACCATATTTGAGGATATACAGTAACAATGCATTCCACTTGGGATTAGAAGCAGTAAGCATATGCATCCTGAATTACAAGCCCCATTTGGTACAAATGCTGGGCTCCTGCTTGGTTTCATCCTCAGGCGATAGGACTCTCCTCCTAGCATCAGTGTGCCACTCATTCTTGTGGGTAAAGCAATCATTCATTTATGAATGGAGGGTTCTGAAGCCAAACAGAGGATCTTCTCTCTTGTCCAAGAGGAGTTTATAGGACACYCAGAAACATTTAAAACAACCAGTGGCTGCAGTTTAAGGACAGCCATCAGGGCTATCCAGTTAAATGACACCCAATGATGAACAGGAAACAAGCTCTAACCTCTTTTTATGTACAGCTCTACACTTTCATTCCAGAGGCAGCCACATAACCATGATTTAAAATTCTGAAGTATAATTCACCACTACACATTTATTTTCATTAGTAAAAATACTCCAGTATGATAGGTAAGTACAGTGAGTATATTGGTCTCAAACATTTCATTTCAGTGTTTTGCATGCCCTGTACTTGCTGTCAAGAATATTCACAAGTAAGAAAATTGATGTCTGCCTAATATTTAGCCTAAGAGTTTTAAAGGAAGAATAGTCACATTTCTCATATTGTTCCTCATTACTAATATTATTTATTATCCTTGGCCTCTCTTCTCTAGTAAGATAAAATAGGTCATAGAAACATAGAATAGGAAGGGACCTCAAGGATTATCTGAACCAACCTGTCTTAGCAAAAGCACAGCTTAGTCAAGATCCCCCAACACCTGTCCACTTGAGTCTTAAAAGTGCCCGGTGTTGAGGAAACCACCACTGTCGTGGGGAAATTATTTCAATGGCTGATTTCTCTCATTGTGACAGAATTTCCTCCRGGAAATTTCCTCTTGGAACCTCTCCAGGAGTTCCCAATACCCTTCATCCTTTCTATGTGACTCCTTGTAAAAAAGGAGTCTCCATCCTCTTTGTAGCCTCCCTTTCCATAGCAGAGCACAGTGATAARGTCTCCTCAAACCTGAAAAAACTCAATTCTCTCAGTCTTTCTTCAGTGGTTCTATTTTCTATGTCTTGCAATTCATTAAAAATAGTGAGGGAATTATCAGGTAATAAACAGCTCCTGCCAAACTACTTTCAATATCCTCCTGTAGCAAAATGATTCTTCATTATTAAGAGAGCAGTATAAAAGAGGTTTCTCCAGAACATAGAACCTCCACCACATCTCACTCATATAAAAAAACCACAAAGATCTGTGTCAGATCTTTGTCAGGAGCTTGGTTGACTTCTTGGGCATTAAATAACATTGCYTACAACATTGGTTTTTCATTTCTAATCCAAAATGCATTGAGCATTCTGGTGGCTCTGGGGATTGCTGTCTTGCTGCTGCATCCTCAGTGCAAATCTGTTGAACAGTTTGCTGAAGCAAAAAAAAAAGTCCAAAAAATTACCTATTAGTTTCTGAAAAATCACCTGAGAAAAAAATGCTTGAATCTGTAACAACTCTTCATCTTTCTATGCAAAGGAATTGCAGACCAAACAAGTCAGACCAGTGAAAAAGTTAATCAAAAGATGCTTAGGTAGAGAAGAGGAAAAAAAAAAAACAACAAAACAAAAAAACTCCACATTAATTACTGAGGAGAAATGTAGAACAGTCAGAAAACTAATGAAACTGGAAAAGAGAAATGGGAAAGTATAGGTAATGAATTATTTGAGCTCCACTGACGGATGTGATGTCAAGATGAACATAAAGTCAAAAAAAACCCACATGAAAAGTTGCTGYAGAAAAGACTAAAACCAGTCCTAGTAACCCCCTGATTTCATAATTTCCTATATGGAATTCACAAAATAATGAGAATATAAGTTCCATCCATTTTTTCAGTTATATGCCTCAATAAAGAAGGAAACATGCCCTGATTTGGAGTCAGACTACAGATAAGAAAAAACTGTCTGCATAGATATTTAATGAAGATAAATGAACAAAATCCTCTTTCTTTTCCATACAGAACACTAAGTTGTAAATCCGAATTTAAAAATACAGTTTCATTCATCACTGCRTCTCATTTTTTTACTGATTCAAAGGGAGAGAAAAAGAGACAGAGATATTGAGCCTGAAAAGCTTTTACTCCAACAAGAACCAAATCATGCCAGAGAATAACAAGACCAATGCTGCTGGTGGGTGCTACATTTCAGGAAAAGAAACAGACCCACAGAACTCTGTTCTCTTCTGGCCTCCACTGAACAGAAGGGCAAGACCAGGAGCCAAGAGTACAAAAAGTAGATGTTTATTTCTTTTCCGAAATTTGAGTGACAAGAAAAAGGGAAAGGGAGAAGACATCTTCAAAATACTGGCTGTGCTTTCATAGTCACCTGCATTTCCCTTTTATTCTCTGAAAAGGCACAGGAGTTACTGCAGGAGCAGTAAACTGCTATTCTCAGAGCAAGTCACTGGGAGTAGCCCTTGCATGAGAAGAYCATTAATTTGAACAGCTTTATTACAAGGTAAGATAGAAACTCAGCACACAACAGGATTACTGCTTAGCTCTTCGGCATATTTTTTTTTTTTCTTTTCTGATGAAACTCAGAGTATTCTAAGTTAACCTTGCAGACCAAAGATGTTTTTTATTTTTCCCACCAAAAACCAGAAACAAATAAAACATAATGTCACTGAAGAGGCCAAGTGCAAACTTCTCCAATGCACACTAATCCATGCAAAATCCACTCTAATCTATGTATATGAATTCTTTCAACCACAGTAAAAATACCTAGAGGTCTATAAAACTGCATTAAAAAGACAACCTTGAATCCACTCAAAAGAAGGTAAGTTTTTGAAACAGCTGGAATTGCATGGGAATAAWTTGAAAATGTATATGGCATTTTTGAGACATCACTTGAAATGCATGGTTCTAATTTCTTTTATTTGGGAAGGAAAWAATTAATTCCATATATAGGCATAGACCATTTCCTGCAACCTCTGTGGCACAATTAACCCATGTGACCAGCAAATGGTGGTATCTCAAGTTTCAGAGTAGGGAATATTGCCAAATCTAGAAGTATTTATGAAGTATTTATGAAGCATTTACGTCAGTTCAGTGCAGCTTGTGGTTTATATTCTAATCCCTAATAAACATTAGGGCAGCGCAGGACATCTTGTGCAAATGTAAATTGTAGTCATCTTGTTATCTCTCTTACATGATAAAATTACATATTTAATATCTAAAAGTAACACTCTCTAGGACATGAAGCACACACATGATAATATGGATTTCCAGGAAAACACTAATAAAATAAAATATTGAGTCTCTTAAAGTATTTTAATGCATAACATTAAAAAAGATCATAAAATGAAGTACACAACYTATTAATTCATCTAAGTTTTATTACTTTATTTGCAGGCCACTATAAGAGAAAGGAAAAAAAAAAGCTTAAGTGTCCAAAAATGCACTATTCCTAAATACACCATAATGGAAAATTATTTTATAAATAATATACGAAAATGATGCCATCCAATCAAATACTCTTGTTTTGACATTTGTAAAAGGTGCTTAAAAAATCTGTAGAGCAAGTTCTGCTGAGCATTTACRTATTTACACCTGATTGTTAATTTGAAAAAATTATTATTTGATAATTACTTTTTCAATACTAATCACTTTTCAGTGGGCTGTGGAATAAGTAGTGAATGCTCATGCAAAGGAAGACAGGATGCCTTACCCTGAGCCTCTGAACTTGACAGCCTTGTTTCTCTGTCATCTTCAGAAAGTGACTGAAGTTTGACTCATCAAGCAGGATATATACTGCGATCCCTCTAGTAGATGCCTCCACGATTTCTCTGAAAATATCCACATCTGTAAACATATCCATAACRATGGCAATGACCTGAATCAAACAGAAAAGACACAAATTATTGTATTGTATAAACTCATATACAGAACTCTTCACTGAAGCCTGCACTGAGCAGCCAATACATTAATATTTTTTATGCATTAAAAAGTTTTCTTTTCCATGTTGTTCCACTTAACCTGAAAGGCTTCTGAAGACCACTGCATCCTCTTTTTAAGAAATCAAGTGATTGCTTGTGTGACATTTGTCACGTGTACCAAAGTCTGGCAAAACATTGTGTTGTGAGTTGTCCTGGTTTTGCCTGGAATTGAGATAATTTTGTTCCTAGTAGATGGCACTGTGCTGTGGTTCAGATTGAGTGTAAGAATAWTGTTAATAGCAAATGGATGTGATTCTTGCTAAGCAGTGGTTACCCCAAGTGAAGAACTTTTGAGTGTTCCATGCTATGCCAGCAAGCAGGTGACCAAGAAGCCAGAAGGGAGCTGATCCAAAGTGGCCAAAGGGATATTTCATACTGCAGAATGTCATGGTCAGTGTATAAACTGAGGAGAGCTGGCTGGGAGGGGCCAGTTGCTGCTCAGGGACTGTCTGGGCATTGTCAGTGAGTAGTGAATAACCRTAATGTGTATCATTTGTTTTCTTGGGTTTCACATCTCTCTCTCTTTCTCTCTCCTTTTACTTATTGTTATAATTATAACAATAAAAAGTTATAAATTAATAAAAGTTTCACTTGTGACAAACATGCATTTAAATCACTAGAAATATAAATGAGAAATGYATTACATAAAATAAAAGTAAAATAAGAATGAAAACAATTAGAAAAGGTAGAAAGATAGCTCCTGAAGTGGTAAAAAGTAAAGAACTTGACATCTTCATTACATGTCACCTGGCAATAAACAGAATCTTTACAAATCCACCAGTCAGAGAGGAACTGAATAGCATCAAAGAATTCAAATCTTCCAAAAATCTTAGGTAAAGTGCCAAGGCACTACCTCATTTTCTTATTGACTTTTTGAAATTAAAACCTAAATGTGGTTTGGGTTTTTTTTTTTTTCAGTACAGAATATATATTTTTTTTATCTAAGACTGAAAACATAAATGCTTATCTTGACTCCAAGGACCTCATCACTTTCAGACTGCATCTTCTGCTCGGTCTTGCTCCTGCGGTACACAATGTTAACTGAACATGGCAACCCTATTTATGCATCTGTCCTGTTTCACTTGCATCTGAGAAAAAAACTGTCAAGACAGATCAAGGATGGTRGGTAAAAAGACCAAAAAATAATGTGTTCTTAAATAATCTGTTCCATTACCTGTGTCCCCCTCCCTCTGAACTTCCTAATTTCTTTCTAGCCTTTCCTTCTCTTCAGAAATGGATGCTCATTGTATCTTAGGATCTATTTGAATGTAGGAGAAAAATCCGGAATGGATTCACTAGCATACACTGATATGAAAACATGAAATATTCAAAACCCAGAGCCCCCAAAAATCATTCTAATGCTTTCCCATGGCAGATATCTAAGATACTCACATTTGCAGCATTTTGTGGTTGCACAGACCACTAAACTGGAAAGATGCAGAAAAAAMCCCCACAAAATTGAGTAATGAAAACTAAAACCCAACAGTGACTAGAATGGCCATATCTATCTTTATGAAGAGGAAGGTAGAGAAATAAACACATAAACAAGCAAGTTAGTAAGTTGGTAAAATAAGAAGGATGCCTGTGCACTATTGTGCAGATATTTCACTTGGGTAGGCACAGGGACCCTCTCTGTCTTCACTAGCAAAATTSTTTTTAAACCACTTAGCTTATTAAATCTGGAGTAATTCTGCAAAGCATCAAGTTCTCTTGCAAGAAAATGTAGGTTTCACTTCCAGAGTTGGAATTAGGATTGTATTTTGAAACCTGAAGGTTGTGCTGTCTGATAAATCCTTACTAGAATTTAAATACACACACACAAAGCTACAGTCATGAYCTGACAACCATCTGGGCATCCCTTTGTGATTCCCTACAAACCAGAAATGGCTCGTGTTGAACATYCTCATTAGGCTGCCCATTTACTCTTAACAACTCTCTATTGATCTATTAAACACAAACATAATTGGGCTCAGTTGCTGGAGGACAGTGCCAAATCTGAACAATGCATATGACATACATATGATACACACAATATGTAAATGTCATTAACAGTAATAAGGTCAYTTCTGCATACTGATTTCCATAAACCAAACTAGATGTTTGACCATAAACTACAGATTTTGATTCAGAAAGAGTGGATTCCATGAATGTCATGGAACATTYTGGCCTTTAAATATATTAAACTTGCTTTTATTTTCCTTTTAATAGGAATGTGTGTACATTTCCCCAGTTTTCCTACTTTGCAGTAGAAGGGAGTGTTGCACTTGGGAAAAGACAAAGCAAATATRGTATTCAGATTCCCAAGTTTTGATTAATTAAGGAGAACAAGATTAGGAAATTACTTCAATGAGGTATTCTATAATGTGTACCTACCTTTAATTAAAGCTACAACAACAGCTGCAGGATTAGTTGCTCGCTGCATTACTTTGGAAGAAAATATTTCACTATTGTGCTTTTATATTTGTTTTTGCAATTGCAGAGCTAATTTCCACCCTGGTACTTGCAAGAAGAACATAGCAATGAATTCCAGCAAGGAAGAAAAACAGACAGAATTCAAACCACAGAAAATAGATCAGAAAGTTGCCTATTTCATAAATTCGGTTTCTTTTGGGCATGACAATACTATCCTGAGTCAAGAAAATCTCCCCAAGGCAGAAAGCTTTAATAACATACAGGAGGCTTCCTTACACAATGCCATTTTCTTTCCAAAGCATATCTGCTTTCCACAATGCAAAGGTCTTTATAAAAGCACCCACTCATGGTTTTGAAGCAAATATAATGGTCATCCAACCATTCCATGGAAACTGGATGGGTACAGTAGTTTTTTGATAAAAGCACTAGAATTCTTAGATAACTTTCCAAATCTTGGCAAACCGATTATCACCCTGACCAAATATGACCCTCATTTGGGAATAATTAAGCATTTTACACTTTCAGGGAGGAGAAAACACTTGGCAGACACTTGCTGTACATAATGTCACGTAAGATTGAAATGATGCATAGCAAGATGGAACTACCACCACCTGGGTGGGTATTAGATGAAGAGCACATTTCAGTAATCAACTAAAAGTGAAGACCAGAAAACAGTTTTAATCCTAGTTCTCTTCACCAAAAATATATTTAAATAATCTTTGTCACTCTTATCTTTATCTTATCTACAAACTGTTGGGTTTTTTTAAAGCAATGAATATTTTTAAGACTAAAATTTGCTTTCAACRACATCCTCACAGGAGAGTATCTGCTGAAGTCAGTAAGCACAAAATTACTCCTAATAAAGCTGACAGTATTTTCACCTTAACTCATGGCAGTAGTAGARTCATATGCTATTATTCTTCCTACTGTCTTGCCACTAAGACTATGGTTTGCAACAGAAAAGTAAAGGTATGCACACTGCCTTGGCAYTTAAAAAACATCTAAGTAGTATAGACAGGAAAGTATAATTTTATTGAATAGCACTATTTTTATGCATATATTCTAAACTATACTTTTCAGGAAGGTGATTTATTTATTTTGAACATTAGCAAGGAAAGTACCATTTTAAAGCTCATTATCTCTAAACTATTATCACTTTAATAGAGAGTTCTTTTCATTCTTTCAAAGTTAATAATTTCTAAGTTCAGTAAAGGACAGGCTCCTAYACAAAGTACCAGTGACAAGGTTCATGAGAGGCACAAGCACATTTGTTTTGATGGTTAAAACAAACAGSTACAGCTCAAATATCCTGAATATTCTTGATAAAGAGGAAAGAAAGTACACAGTAACATGACAATACAGAGGGTATTATGACACTCTAAATGGATGTCATTTCTGTCATATCTGTTATGTTACAGGGTAAGTTATTGCCAGTTTGGGCCCATTCATGTGCATTGTACTTGCTTAGATGGTTCATAGCTTCAGAAAATAACTCATTTCAGAGTAAGCTGTTATCTAGAAGGAAGTTGCCAATCCCAACAGTTACACTCATCACTAAACATCTCTTGAGCTCATGCAGGTGAGGGCCACCAAGAGGGCACTTGCCATGTGCCAAGTACATGAAGGAGCTGGATTGTTCAGTCTGGAGCAAAGATGGCTTCAGGGAATCTTACAGCAGTTCCCAGTACTTTACAGGGAAGTTCTGAAGGAGACAAAGACAGGTTCTTCACAGAGGTGGCAGAACAAAAGACARTGGTCAAATCGAAACAAGAACAGCTCCAACTGGATACAGGGAAACCCTCTCATTTCCACATGGACAAGAAAACAGAGACTATAAATACAGAATGATGAGAAATAAAGGAGTTTTTCTGCTTTACTTCCCCCATTTTGGTAAGAAAAAAATAAGTGGATTTTAATCTTCATATGAGTTCTAGGACATCAAAATCAACCTTTCAAYGGGTGTGCACTGAAATCCAGGCATAAATGTAATGAACCATCTTTACTGCTAGTGCTCAGTAAGTCTATTTTGTGAACYCCTGACAGTTTCATTATCTCAGCGTTACCACTTCTTGCACAAATACAAATGAATTATGATTCTCCAAGTTATATATCACAGTGTATGTCATTTAACTACTCCTTTGCATAAACAGTAAAACTRCAGGAATCCTCTACTAAAAGTGCTTCCTTAGGGCAGGCTTTAMTAGAGACACCCACCAATATCAATAACCTAGTAAGGAATAATGCCAAAGACCTACCCTACAGTGCAAGTGTATTGATTTCTTGTAACCTACACCTGGCTTACTTTGGCACAGTATGACAAAAATCTATATTGCAGTGCAGTGCTTTGAATGTCACCACCCTTTCTCACCCCGAGAACAAAGAAGCACATCTYTGACAGAGATTACTTCTATTTTCATTGACCTTTTCTCTGGTCCTCCAGTCCTCTTTTTGCAGATCTCTGTTTTGAGGAGAATTTCCTTGTGGC